GGAAATGCCTACGGATGTAGAGGGGTCTCCAGTCATGGGACTGGAGGTGGCCTGTGGTCGAGCAATAGTGAACGAGAGAAGTAAACTGCAGAAAAAAGTAAAGAAAGTATAATAAAAACCTCTTGCAGCCTTCTAACACTGGAAAGCGAATGCTGCCGCAGCTTGCCGGCCATCTTTGATGCAATCAAACGAGAACTGCGAGGCTGGCTGATCCGGACAGAACGCCAATTTATCTCCAGCTATAGTAGTAGTAGTAGTAGCAAAATCGCCGCTGCATCCCCATCTCCTCACATTTACAGCGTTTAACACTTTTACCCTGACGTAACCCTGCAAACACAGAAGAACTCAAACAAACGATAATATATCACTTCCCACGCATTAAGAAACAGGTAATTCTCATGTCAAAATCATGATGATTCAAATCCTGCTTCCCGGAGCGGCATCTGGACACCCATCACCCCCCAACCACTGTCTCAGCATTTATCGTCTCGAACTCCTCACTAGCACCCTTGTTCCTCCCTCCTCCATCCTATCCCCAACCCGTGCCCCTGGAGGTGCATCTCGGCACCCGCTAACCACCACCCCCTCCCGGCCACGTCCAACCACCCTTCCCCCGCTTACTACCCCGAAGCGCGTGAGCGATCTATCATAGAAATAGTAGAATTGAAGGATTGGTCTCAAGTGTCATGTGCCGAAGAACACTTCACTATCTCGCAAGTCTGTGTTTCATCCCTTAGCTGTAGCGTCAATTGGAATGAAAAGATGATAACCAACCAACCACCGGACAAGCCCTCCCCCGATGGTAGAACACTGGATAGCACTAGCCATCGTTCGCTGACAAAGTGCCAGGCGGTGCTGGTGAGCGGGGTAGTGAAATAGCGTTAGCAGAGAGGCCAGAGCGTTTTCACAATACCGGCCGAGCCAAGGCTTACCAATTGTCTTGTCTTTCACCATACCTCCAGTCAGTAGCGATATCTCTTTACAACTTTGCGTTTTTTCCATGCATCTCTGTTGTCTTTTGCCGTGTGGGCTTCTTCCGCATACGTCTGTTCCTTGTTCCACGTGTGGCTGTGCCCCTTACATACGCCATCTCTTCGGAGGTCTTCCGAGTGGTCGCTTTTTGATTTTTTTTTTACGTGAAAAAATTGCTTCGTGCATAATTTTGTTGCAAAGATTGCCAGCCACGCAAAACGAATGGATAGCCTGAAGAAGAGCCGCTCGCGAACTCGGACAGTGTCG